TCAGAACGTTGTATAGTCAGCACTTCTTGGTAATATCGATTACGCTGAACCTGAGCACAAAGTTCGCACAATCCAATTAATTCCCTTTCAATTATTGAGTTTGAGATTAAAAGAAATAAAGAAATGTGAAACTTATGTGCCATGTAATATATACCATATTACTATGTAATAAAATAAACATTGTTATAATAATAATAATAATCCTGGACAATCGAGGGAAGGGGATGTTAACCATATTGCTAGCAGGTTCAGGATCAGGTTGATCGTTTGTGTATATTTACTAAATACATCAGATATTCTGATTAATATATGTTTCAAGTAGAACAATTTCCCAAAGCGATGCAGTGGTTGCGCCGTTTCTGTTTCTCATAGCAATATCCGCACTCTCTCTGTACGTATCCGTCAGGAATTGGCCGTCAGCCGTTCCATAAGTCCTTCCGCGGGTTTGGAGTGCTATCTGCACTCGCCCCTATAGTTCGTTGAAGCTGTAAAAGCCAGCTACGGCCAATATCATTAGAATAGTTTGATAAATCGACAAACTCTCTTTGTATGATATTGAAATAGATATAGAACGCCGTTATGAATAATCGAGTGTCAGTATTTCTGTAAATTCCATATATGGAATTAGAAGAACTATGAATCTAAGTGAAATAATAGATAACAAATGAAATCGATGCAGACGAATGACAGGAGCAAGCAAAGCATTTTGACCTGATTTCATCTGACAGTTCCAGCTATAACTCTAGCCAGGGATGCCACCTGTACAAGAATTTCTTACGAGAATACCATTTTTGGTATTTGCTATAAAGACATTCTTGTACAATCTTGTACGAGATTCAGAGCTACGAAAATCGGTAAGAATATACAGTTAGATAGTCAAATTAGGCTAACATATAAGATTTTATCAGATTTCTTGGCTTCTTGTTACGAGTCTAAAAATTTTAATGTTGGCAACCCTGGTCGGGTCCGACCCCAAATCAATTAGTATCTGTCCAGATACTATAATGAATAACTAAGTTTCGAACTAACTGAATTGGCGTTAAAAGTATAGAACGTCACAATTTTGATAAACACTAATCATGAATTCGAGAGGCCTTTTGATTTAAAATCTAAAAGCGTCTAGTGTATAATGGTTTACTACCCATTATTACATCCAAAACATCTAGAAATCAAATATGACCGACTCCTAAAAAAATTATATATAAATTTATATTTCTTACTTATTCTCCGGAAAAGTAAATACCAATATCAAACCACTAATAATCCGAAAGGCAGCGGTAGTAATAATTTCTACTGACGTCCTTGGTGGTATAGCGATTTACCACGCCGTATTACTTCCAATGGTCATGTACTCATTCCATGTATGTATTAACAAAAAAAAATTACTATCAGTAGTCTATTTACCTATAACACAAACTCTTCTTTTTTCATAGCATAGTGGGCTAAAGGCTAAAGAGCTAGGGCTCTCTTGATGGTAAGTGGTTATCGCTTCCCATGGGGTGCTCATGCAACACCAGGAATTGAAATATACACACCAAATTTCATACAAAATGATCCAGCTTTATTATATAATATATTTGAATATGTATTGTGTGAGTAGCTTACATTTCAGTGTTTTTACTTTATTTTCAAACATTGCAGTCAACACAGCTCGCAGCTTCCGTTAAAAAGATCTAGAAAGAATATCCACGAGTGCTCTTTAATTTCATTAAATTTATCTACATTTTAAATTCAATTTACACTAATAGAATGTAAGTCTAAACTAGATATTCTTTATTGCATTCTTAGAAACAGTAATAGTAGCATTTAGAAACAATGTGAGTAAAGGAAAATATTATAGAAATAGAATAGAAATAATCTTTATTAAAAACTTAATATAAGCATTTTTGATATTTTTTATTCTACCACTTATTCGGCATGCAGATACTTTACAAGAAGAATAAGAAAGGTACTCGTGTGTTGCTCTTTTGAATAAATTGTTTTTTACACAATAATAAGTATGAGGCATGCGATAATCAACATAAAAACCGCTACGAACTCATTTTTAGTGCAATCGGATAACATTTTCAGCGTTATAAATTTTAAGTTTTTCTGCAACATTATTATTATTTACATAATACATTTTTTGTTAATTCATTCATAATATAATATACAAAAGTAACACCTATATTAATACATTGTATCACTTTATCACTTTTTATATAAGTTACAAGCTGTTCCCGCGAATTCGTTCGCGTGGAATTTAATTATTTTTTTCTAAAATAAAAGTAGCTTAAGTTACTTCTTATTACATCAGCTACCTGCCTAAAAAAGTCCCGTCAAAATCGGTCCAGCCATTTCAGAGATTAGCCGGAACAAACAGATAGACAAAAATCATAAAAAATGTTATTTTAGCATATGTACCGTATATATATTCATATGCATGTAGTAAAAAACGGTTATTTCAATATTACAAACAGACACTCCAATTTTATTTATATGTATAGATGTATAGATAATAATAGTAGTATTATTGTTATTGTGTATGTACATTTATTATTATTTATTTATTAACTTTATTGGCCAATAAATTATAGTACAAACGGTGGATTGGTGACAGGTGCTTGGTCCTGTAGTCCTGCGACCTGTACAGATCTATTGTGCTCGCCCTTTTTCAGAGCTCGCTACCTAGACCCGTCAGAGACAAGAATTGAAGGATATTCTTAGGAGCGATGGTTTTTATCGCCTCAGGAAAGAGTGTAAACTTTCCAAAGGAGATATTTCGTTTATGCATGAGTGGCATGATGGCTATAACTAAATGGCATTTAATAAAATTTGGTACAATCTGCAGATTATTGCTGTGTATTTAATTAATTTAATTATTTTGTGTAAAAAAAAACATCTATTAAAAAGAGCAACACACGAGTTTCTTGTTCATTCTTCTTGTGATGAAGAAGAGTGAAAATTTAGGGTAGTATGTATTTTTTAATGCCCCATAATAAAAAAAATTGCCCATAAAATAATGTTAGCTGTGGACAACCCTTATCACTTAGGGGTATGAACAATATATAGTAACCGATTCTCAGACCTACTGAATATGCATATAAAATTTAATAAAAATCGGTTAAGCCGTTAGGGAGGAGTATGGTAACTAACATTGTGACACGAGAATTTTATATATAAGATAGTGTAAAAAATAAGCGTATGGGATTGGGTACATCCACGGACCATATATAAAGCTTTAGAGAATCACGTGTACGTAGCTTTCTTCCAAAGCTTTGACAAGCCAAACGTAAGATTACCGTTATTTGGCTACGAAACGTAAGGACTCCATTAGGAGGCATCTCATGTTTTTCGAGAGGTTTCATATATATTTTTAACGGCCTCGGTGATCTAGCGGTTTAGTACACCGCTTTACATCCTATGGTCGCGGGTTCGATTTCTCGCACGATAAAAACATTTATATTCTTGAGTATGATTACTGGGTATTTTCTATGTATTTACAAAAAAAATGTAAATATGTATTTATAGCAGTTATCTAGTACCAATAACACAAGCTCTGCTTATTTTGCTGCATGCGTTTGTATACAGGATAATTTCACTGCCTTATCTCAACTGGAAAACGACACGTCTTAAAAAATAAACTGCTTAGTAGCTGGAAGAGAATGATACTTATGCAGATGAATTTTTATAAATCAGCGTTGAGTTTTAGTTGAGTATACAGTACCTATGGACTTAACTCACACATAAATTGCAAAATAATAGTAATATATTATACTATTATTTTGAATATATTCTAATAATTATAATAATAACAATAATTGCAAAAAAATTTGCACTTCGTAATAACATATGGTATGATAGACTCATAAAGGTAGAACACAATATTCACCTTATGTGCATTATTTTATATTAACTGTAAACATTATGCCACTAGATCACTGTTATCTGCACAAGTTATGATGTACATAAATTAACATGACTTAAATATGTCGAAGTTCCGGTATACCAATTATTGTAGTTGTTGCAATATGAATACTCTTCCTATACGCATAGAGCTTAGTATTGCATGTACGAAACAAAATGTATCCTTTTCAGATAAATAGTTTCTCAAATACTGCGGGGTGAATTATGTGATGTCCCAATATATAAAGCGTACCAAGTACCACTACACATTGTTGGATACTAGCGGCAAACCGCTACTTCATGCGCGTGAATGTAGTAACGTTACAACGAGGAACTCTGTCTGTTCGTTTGTTCTCGCTAATCTCTGAAATGGCTGGACTAATTTTAATAGTATTTTCACTCGCAGATATCTGATGTTATAAAGAGGAACTTAAGCTACTATAAATTCAGAAGTGTTATATATGTAAATTTCTGAATTAAAAGTTATTTTTAATTCAGAAATATAACAATTGTGGCGTTTCCTCCTATGACTATAACAATAATTGCTGTTGGTGATTTGGCCTACCTCTATTAGGTAGCTTTGTACGTAGCTGTCTACAGGCGTACCTTTGTTTCATCTATTTCTACTTGGGTTGGCTTGCTTTGTAAACTGTTTCGGTATGGTACATATCATATGGATGTGAAATTGCAGGATACGGAATCATGACGTTTTCATTTGAGGGCATCACATGCCTTCGTGATGTCTTTGGTACTGTTATATGTAGACTAGCTAACCCCGTAAACATTCTTTTGGCATATAAATTAAAATCGCATTAATAGGGGTTGATGGTTGAAAGGTGAAAAGTTAGGGTAGTATGTATTTTTAAAGCCAGTTTATAAATAAAGTTTTCTAAAAAATAAAAAAAATGTTAGAGGTGGCCTGATCTAAATGATTTGGGGTATGAAAAATAGATAATAGCCGATTCTCAGACCTACCGGATATAAAAAAAAAAATCTAAGTATTCACATCATTTGTCGTGTACCCATAACACAAACACTGCTTACCGTGAGAATAGATGGTGCTGTGTTAATTCTTCAGGCTTATATATTTATTTATTTTGTACAAGTTAACTTACCTTCCTGTTGCTCTTAAACACGTTGCATTTAAACACGTTGGTGGCCCCATCGCGGGCGATGTAAGAGAAGATCTTCAGATCGGAACTGTCGTGGGACACGTAGAAGATGCGGTATATAGGATGATTCATTATCTCAGATTCCTCGCTGGCCACGCTAGCTTTGGAGCTGCGGCTGAATAATTTCGCGCCCGCACTTTTCTGCAACAATTGATTTTATTATGAGATATTATATAAAAATAAATCGTGTGACACAATGATTTAAAACATCGATTTGGAGATTGTTTGTAATAAAAATATAAATTAAACTATAGTTCAGTGTCAGGTCGATCTCCACGCGGTCCCTCTTCGAAACCATAGTGATCAATTTCAAGGAAACTCACACGATGAACAAAGTAACCTGCTGCTCATGCTCATTCTACCATCCTTCACTGGTTACCATTGCATTATCATCGCTAAAAAAAGTAATAAAAAAATCGCGCCTTGCACAAGGTCGTGAAAAAAAAAAATTGTGACAATTTATATTTATGCCTTACCGGTGAAAGAAACATTTTAAAACTATAAACTCTGACAAATATCTTAATCTATGGGCTCACATATACTTCTTTATTTTCATCCTAAAAGCAATTACAATCTTATCAAATATGAACTGACAGCGTTCAGGAGAATTATGCATATCAACAACAATTATACATAAAGATTCTTCTATAAATTCTATCCCTAGAAATTCTGCCAACGTCCAAAGATTCTTTGCTCATTCTTACAGACTTTAGTAATATTAGGTCTGTTTATATTTTACGTAGAAAGTACTCCGCAGAGTTTCACGAAGCTGAACACTATAACAACTTATGTCCCTTTGGTCCACACTTACGATACCTTTTAGACCGGAAAATGGAGGGAGCTCCCAATATACTTAACAAAAAAAGTAAGTTATATACTTATTTTGTGCTCATGAAAGACTAAGTTAAATGTTCAAAATAAAAAATAATGCGAACATAAATTCAAAAAGTGTTTATGCCTGTGACCTCCCTGGTGTTTTAGGCGTCCATAGGCTACGGGAACCGTTTACCATCAGATAGGCCGTATGTTTGTTTGACGTCGTAGTATAAAAAAAAATTTTGAAAGGTGGAATTTTGTATATACGAGTAGCATAGGTATTTTGCTCTTCTGAAAATTAACTACAGGTGAAAATAAAGGTGATGTGATGACAAGCTCAGAAGAGAATAAACTAGCACTCAATTAGACACTAAAGTTTAATTGCAAACTATTACATGGGAACACCGATAATAAAATAACCAAATTCCACACCGCCTTACTTTTAATGGTCGTGGGTTCGATTCCTCGGTCACAGAGCAGATCTTATGCAATAATTAACAAGTGTTTAGCAATAATAAGCATTCTATAGACGTGCAAATTATCTAACGTAAATAAATAAATTAAATAACATTAATATAAAGTTATTATAGGCTAAACAAATTACTGATAATGCAGAATTTCAACGAAAGAGATTGCAAATGACGAAAATCTGTCGAATAGATTAGGATTATCCAGTGGGGACATCAATAAGTTTGTATCACAAAAGGAGTTCCTCGCCGCGTTTCATCTGCGGACATCAGGTTGACAGCTTTCCATTATGTTCAGACGTGATTAATGAATGCCCAAAAAAATGAGTGAATCTAATGGTATTGTTGCCGCTACTTGCAAAGCTATTGGACAATAATGCTGCACGGTATTTTCATAACTAAATTAAAATGTGTTTAAGGGAGTCACGCTGTTAATTCTATAATAGATGTAACATGTAGCCATAATTATTTTTAGAACTGTGACTACCTGGAAACCATCTTGATAAATTCCCTATGAATTGGTCACAATGGGCTAACGTTCGTTGACTTCATGTTCATCTTATCATCCTCCACTGGTACCCCGCCAGCTTAAACCGTTAGCGAGTGTACCATTCCATTAGCATATACTAAAAAACAGAGCTAATGCTATAAGTAAACTAAACAACTGTCCTAGGTATGTATATATATGTGTTCTCAATTCTGGATTCACGAATTCCTCATATGACCGATTACGTGAGGAATTCTGGCATGCGGCTGCACACGGAAATTATTGACATTACCAACATACGCTTGAATGGAAATGAAAGGGTTGGCCAATAGTGGGCATATCAACCGCACATTGGAGGGAGAGAGATGAACAAATGGAGCAAAATGTTATCGAGACCCACGTGGAATAGCTTGTTTCAATATGATCGGATTAGATTGGATTCGGTTTATAGAAGTAATATAAACTTTTCATCGAAATTAACAATGCCTTATAAGAACATTAATGTTACATTAAAATAAAGCAGACAAACTAGATTTAAAATGACAAATAAAATGAAAATGTATACTTTTATGCGACGCACTGCCGTATAGATATAATTTTTAGTAAATTTATTACTATATATAGTATAAATATGCACGAAATGTTTATTCTCTGTGATTGAAATAAATACAATTTTATTATTATAAATTTATCCGATTCTAGATGACGAAGATTAGTTATTTATCTCCCGGTAAGGGTTGTTTTGCCTTAAAATATAAAAAAAAATTAGGGGTGGACTACCCGTAACATTTAGGGGGATGAAAAATAGATGTTGGCCGATTCTCAGACCTACTCAATACGCTCACAAAATTTCATGAGAATCGGTCAAGCCGTTTCGGAGGAGTATGGGAACGAAAACTGTGACACGAGAATTTTATATATAAGATATTGGGTATTGCAGAAGACAGTGAATATTGCTATCTATTCTAAGACCTTTGTAATCTGTACTTCACAAAGAAAAAATTGAATTTGAAATTTAAATTAGATAATATTGCAGTCGGTCCAACACAACCACAGTGAGACGGTGCCGGCGTTGCATTTTGAATGGTGTGTGCTCTCACATTGCGAAAAAAGTAGTTTTAATTATCTATCTCTATATTATATACATTCTCTATATATATTTTATATATCTATCTATCCTGATAATACTAAAATCACAAAGAAGAAATAGTTCCTTATTTCTTTCTTTGTCATAGACCATATATTAAATTAAATTTTAAGTTTGAACGTTCACTATCATACTAATCCTAGATAGGTTGTTATTATAAATGGTATACGAAATATCGACAAACTATTTTCTACAAAATTTTCCTCTGTTAATTTAACGTGAGGATTCTGTCCTATAAGATATAGATAAGATAAGATAAGATATAAGATATAGGACAGAATCCTCTCGTTAAATTAACGGAGGAAAATTTTGTAGAAAGCATCAGCTGTCTCACTTAATTGTCCCCATCTTCTTCTTCCGGCCTTATCCCATTTTCATTTGGGGTCTGCTCTCCTAATCTTTCTTCTTCAGTGGTGTCTATTTTAGACTGTTACTGGCTCTATGTTTCCGTTGTCCTTAAGGTCCTTACTAACTACAGACATCCATGTTAATTGGGGTCGTCCACGCTTTTTCGGTCCTAAATTGAGGTCCAGAACTTTTCTCGTCAAGTGGTCTTCCGGTCTCCTCATGACATGGCCATACCATACTCAATTGTCCCTATAGCTTTCTTTAAAACTCTGTTTTGATTTGAAGTATAAAATATTACAGTAAAATTTATGATATCGTACTGAGGCAATAATAACCTCTTAGTTCTCTGCCACTGCAAAGATCATTCGTTGTTGTAACAATTGTCAAAGAGGATTCTCTTTGTGATAGACCAAATATTCATTTAAATTTTATAGAACCTTGTTAAAGATTCTCATTTCAAGGTGTAAATCAAACAATATAACTTTATGTGTACCTAATTAATGTTTTTAGCATTTAATATTAGCATCATTCAGCCCTTGTCTATATAAATTTAAACAATGCTAAATTTCATACTCCTACTTCATTTCAGACAAGCTTTAAATTTGTTTTATCTAACTGGAATAGCAATAAAGCTAATAGACCTATGGACCTTAATTTCCATTGACATAATATTGGGCCCAATATATATGAATAACCTTACCTATATTATTATGTTTATTACTAGCTGACCCGCAAACATAGTTTTGCCATATAAATTAAAATCGCTATTAAAAAATTAGGGTTGATGCTATAATAGAAATGCAAAAATTTTGGATTTTATGTTTTATTCTATGGTAAATCATAATAAAATATTAATTCGAAAAAACAAAATAAAATATTTAGACAGTATTTAGTGGACATTTTGGGATATGAAAATTAGATAGTAGCAGATTCTCATGACATGATATTCATATAAAATTTCATAACAATCGGTAATGCCATTTCGGATGTGCGTAGTGCGATTTCAGAGTGCGTAGCGATTTCTATATTTGATTATCGCATGCCTCTTACTTGTTATACTGTAATTATTTATATATACAAAAACATCTATTAAAAAGAGCAACACACAAGTTTTTTGCTCATTCTTCTTGTGATGAATCTGCATTCCGAATGAGTGGTAGAATCAAAATATGACTATTCAAAAGTGCTTATAATGAGTTTATTTGAATAAAGATTATTTATATGACATAGAAATATAAATAATCTAACATGGTGAAACGAGAATTCTATATATAAGATAGTATAATATTGACGACCTCGACCTATAACATTTTGACGACCTCGGTGGTCTAGCGGTCTAGCACACCGCTTTACGTCCGATGGTCGCGGGTTCGATTCCTCGCACGGCACAAACATTTGTCATTCATGAGTATAATTGTTTGTGTCGGTCTGGTTGTTTTCTATGTATAATGTGTATGTATTTACGAAGAAAATCTATGTAATTGTATCAGTTATCTAGTACCCGTAACACAAGCTTTAGCTAGCTTAACTTGGGACTAGATGGCGCTATAGTCGCGATAGTCTTATACATACAATATATATATATATATTTTTCAAAAGAAAAATATATATATATATATTGTATGTATAAGACTAAAGTACAGACACATAAAATAGTTGTTAACGTTTGTGGGTTTTAATTTCTAAATAAAATTTAACTTTAACCGTATTTTCTGCAAGACCAGCGGTGTTCAATTACTCCAGGAGCGGGATTGAGTTGACTACAAAATGCGAATTGAACCCGCAAATGGGTACCGAAGTTTTCAATTTAACTTCGCACTGAGTTTAAGGTGCTCATGTAAATTTTTATCGAGAATAAAATGTACATTTACGAGAATGCTATCTACGAATAAACTCACTCGCATAGTATACCTACGATATAAATCGTAGTTTATGCTTCCTCTATATTTATATTTGACGACCGTGCCTTATCTTCAGATGGTCGTACGTTCGATTCCCGAGCAATACGCAGTAATATTTACCTTAGTCACGATTATTTGAAATGGTCGCGGTGTTCGTATCTATTTTGTGCTTAGATTTAAATATTCCTTTAAGTTGTCTAATACTTAATTCTACTTAATCCTGAACTAAAGAGCACTGTTCTATAATATATTACTTCTTTACTGGACTTTGTTCAAAGTGTGCTTGCGTGCAGTATCCCAATTTTTTGCTTCTGTTCATAGATCATACTCGTGAATAGATGCTGCTTGTGGTAACTGATCTGTTCGGATTACGGCTACTTATAATAATAATAATAATACTAATTATTCCCTTCTGATAAAAATGCAATGGTGGTCACAACATTCTCCCTAATTTAATTGTAGATAAATGTGTATGACGGATGAAAGACGACTGCATGCAACTGAAATGAGAATGTTGAGGTGGATGTGTGGTGTGACAAGAATGGATAAGATAAAGAATGAATACATTAGAGGAAGTATGAAAGTGGCGCCGGTGTCAGAGAGGTTGAAGAGTAATCGTCTATCATGGTATGGACATGTAATGCGTAGGAACGAGGATATTTTAAGAAAGGTGTTACATATGAATGTGGATGGTTATAAGGGCAGAGGAAGGCCAAAAAAGAGATGGATGGACTGTGTGAAAGATGATATGGTAAGAAAGGAAGTAAATAACGCGATGACTGCGAACAGGGATGAATGGAAGCGAAAAACATATTACGCCGACCCCAAATAAATGGGATAAGGAAGAAGCAGATGATGATAAATGTGTATTTTTATTATCATGTCCAAGCACATTTAAAAAACTTTTTTTTTGCTTTTTTTTTTAGCTCGAAATCACTCCGAACTGATGGTAGAATTGTAATAGACCTGCATGAATATAGTTATTTTGATTCGATTTGCATCAATCAATCAACCTGTTTGTATCGATAGGTTTCTCTTCCAGTTACATAAAAATATAAAAAAAAAACACATTAAAAGGAAATATAACTACCATCTTCTTAAAAAATCTTATCAATAAACTATCCCATAACACATCGGTGATATAAGTTCCAATATATTTTTCGGAGGGGCCCGTGTGCAGATCGTGTATTATATATTCAGCACACATATTCCATAAGCAAGAAATATAAACAAATCACGTAGTTCTTACCTTATTCTTGGCTTTGTTCGTTCTAGTTGTTATCCGTACACCATCTGTTGACACGTCGACAGTAACTTTACGCTTCTTCACTCCTTTTGCTTTGAATTCATACTGCAATAGCAAAAGAGACTTTATTGTTTCACAGTTAACAAAGAAAGAAGTATATTAAAGGAATTCGATAAAGAAACTTATTGTGTGTCAAAGAAAATGTTTTTTGCATTTATATAATATTAGCTGTTCCCGCGACTTCGTCCGCATGGAATTATATTTTATTTTTCTAAAATAAAATAATGTTTCTAAAATAAAAGTAACCTAAGTTACTACTTATTACATTAGCTACCTGACAAAAAAAGACCCGTCAAAATCGGCCCAGCCATTTCAGAGATTAAACAGACAGACAGACAAAAATTGTAAAAAGTGGTTTTTTGGTACCATATTTATATTCATAAGCATGTAATAAAAAACGGTTATTTCAAAATTACAAACAGACATTCCAATTTTATTTATATGTATAGATATTTTGCGACCCGCCAAGATTCACTCTGGTGAAGTGATTACTTAGCGATACTTATATTTTTTTGCCATAAAATGAAATGATATTTTTTATATTTAATTTTGAATTTACATTAATTACAAACAACATGTTTTTACAAAGGAATAAATTTATAGTTTAAATTAAGGAAGTACTTAGTAGCATGTACCTACGATTTTTGTAGATGAAAAATATAAATAAAAAATGAGGTATATCGAAAACAAATTTAATATGCCTGTTACTATAAAATAGCAATTCTTTGTAAGAATTGCTATTTTACAGTAACTAATTGCTTCCGTTAATCTTGAAGGCGTGCCGGACCGTCCTGTGTGTTTTCTAAATATACATTTACAAAAAAATGTATTTAATTATTATATCAGTTGCTAGCACCCATAACACAAGCTCTGCTAAGCTTGGGACTAGATGGCACTCTGTGAGTTGTTACTTACTGTTTATTATAATTTGTAAGATAATTTAAGAAATATTTGAGTTTATTAATTACAAACAAAACATGACATATATCCAAATGTATGATACATTTGGAATTATGCTATGTTTTGTTTGTTGTTTGTAATGTTATTCCTATTCCAAACTGAATATTAAATTATATAGTCGTACACTCATACGTTGCAACGCCTGTTGGATAGTAATAGCAACAATCTGTTACCGTAAGCTACTTTGTTTCATTTCATTGTCTAATTTGTATTGTAAAACACACGAGTATGAACTTAACTTCTTTTCTGCTTTCCGAATTGATAGTAGATATGACATTTTATAAATGTCTATGATAGATGTAAATTATGGGACACAGTTATCTATTACACCACAATAGATATAAATAGATATTATTTGAATTGATTTGATTTATCCTAATATAATAATAATAATCTCAGGACAATTCACACAGCGCCATCTAAACCCAAGTTAAGCTAGCTAAAGCTTGTGTTATGGGTAAGATAACTGATACAAATAAATAGATATTTGTTTTCGTAAATACATACATATTATACATAGAAAATACCCAGACCGATACAAACAATTACTCATGAATACAAATGTATGTTCCGTGCGAGGAATCGAAACCGCGACCATCGGATATAAAGCGGTGTGCTAGACCGCTAGACCACCGAGGTTGTCAAAATAATATATTAACTTAATTATAATATTAATATTATAGACGTGAAAGTTTTCGAGTATACATAGATCGATGTAGTGGATGTTTGTTACTCTTTCACCCAAAAACTACTGAACGGATTTTGTTGAAACTTTACAATAATATAGCTTATGCATCAGATTAACATGTAGGCTATATTTTTTATTGAAATTTAACGCGGGTTAAACCGCGGACAGGGCTTGTTTAAACATATAGTTATAATTGCCACTTCAACTATAATAGTATAGAATTATACTGTGACTAAGTTGTCTTGTACCTACATTCCCAGGGTGCATTATTTTCCATTTATTAACATTTGTATTGTACTGTTTCATAATTATCAAGAATGTAGATAATTATTAAATCCTTTCAGCTTATAGGTACGTATCCTTCGCATCATAATCTTTTATTTTACGAGCATTAATCTCTAGAATATAGCAAAGGGCGAGCACCGAACATGTAACACGATATCAAATTATTTCATTATTACGTAAAAGCCCGAATAATTACATAAGAACAGATTTTAACGAACAATTTAGCGAATTAGTTAACAAGCTAAGAGGATTTTTATTAAGAACTCGTGTTTGTGATTATTTTTATATATTTTTTTTTTAATCAATAGGTACGTAAATGGTAGTATGCATTTTTCATATTTAAATTAAATACTTCTAAATACATATATCTGGTAGGCTTTTAATGTCAATGACCTTTGCAGATTTCATTATTTCTGTTCTTAAAATCAGGTTATAATCAAAGAGAAATTTTTGCCATTTTTGTAAGACCAAGAATTTTCTCACTTTTCTTGTAACTCACCATTATACCGTCTAATATTTATCGTTATATGATATATACAAAAAACTAGCTTAGCTTCACATCGCACATATTTCATCACATATATTTATTATTATATTTTGATCAATTTATAAAATGTAACTTTAAATTATAGCCTATGTGTTATTCAGATGTACAAGCTATATAACTTTAAAGTTTCATTAAAATCCGTTCAGTAGTTTTTGCGTGAAATAAACATAGTGTAACCAACATCCACTTATCCATACATATTCACAAACTTTCGAAATTCATAATATTAGTAAGATGAAGAAATCTATTAATAATATTCTAAATAATTTAATATTTATGTACGTACTTGTATATTAATATTTCATTTGTTACATATTAAACAACGAAGCAATATTTTATAATTGCTGAGATATAATGTAGGAATTCCAAGAACTTGGCTATTGTAATAGAGATCTTGACATCCATAAAGACTTCACGTGATTATCCTTCGAGACAATCTGAAGGAGTAAACTGCTTTTAAATTGAATCAATACTGTATTTTTTATAGCACAGGGGACAAACGAGTTTGCGTCTCACCTGATGGTCAGTCATTACCGCCGCCCATGAGTACCCGCAACACCAGGGGAATCACAAGTGCGTTGCCGGCCTTTTAAGAAGGAATAACCTCTTTTCTTGAAGGTTTCAGTATCGTATCGGTTCGCAAATACCATTGCTGAAAGGTGAATTCTGCTGTTTGAACTATATGGAAGTAAGTCTAAACTATATGGAATCCGATATAATTTCTTTTACGTATAATAGATTTTAATAAAACTAGTACCTACTCATACATACATATAAAACAATGGGGGTACATTGTTTTATATGTATGTATGAGTAGGTACTAGTTTTGTTAAAATATCCGTCTATAGGTTGGCCATAATCTCAAAAACTACAAAACAGATTTTCATATGATTTCTATCCGTCAACAGAGTGATTTCTATAGGTTTGGGTGTATAATTAATTAAGTTTTTATATAAATATATTGAAATAATAATAATAATCTCAAGACAATTCACACAGCGCCATCTAGACCCAAGTTAATCTAGCTAAAGCTTGTGTTATGGGTACTAGACAATTGATACAAATACATAGATTTTTTTTCGTAAATAAATACATATTATACATAGAAAACACCCAGACCGACACAAACAATCATACTCATGAATACAAATGTTTGTGCCGTGCGAGGAATCGAACCCGCGACCATCGGACGTAAAGCGGTGTGCTAAACCACTAGACCACCGAGGTCGTAAATACTCATAATAATCAAATATGAACGTGGATGGATTGGAAAGGGAGAGGACGCCCTAAAAAATGGTTGGATTGTGTGAAAGATGATATGAATAAAAGAAGATGCTCAGATACGACGGCCGATAGAGATCAGTGGAAGAGAATGACATACTGCTCCGACCCCAAATAATGGGTTAAAGGCAAGTCAGTGAAGATATTGAAATACTCATGCGGAGCCGGGGTGTTAATCAAATATAAACAACCTACAAGAATTCTGTTATCAAACTAAGATGATATCAATTTACTGTGTTATCCTCAAAGAAATAAGGTTTCATGCTGAGATTTCTTTCATATGAATAAATAGAACGTACGGTGTTCTACAATTTGGCTCTTATAATATTGTCGTGATAGATGAGACATACAAATACTCAATCAGAATATAGTACAATCGATACTAATACTGATACAGTAGGCTGATAATGATGATGGTACTAATTCACCGCTATAGAAAATCTATCTCCAATTTGTATAACAAATTATACACATTGTATAAATAAGGAAACAAGTCAATATAACGTATATATTAACCAGTTGGTTGTATATTCAATATTTTTTCTATTTGATCGTATAACTGAATTAGTGCTAATTGGTAGTTTGTATTCACACACTTAAATTTATAATTGTAAAGTAAGAATAAAAATATTTGAAAGAGCAACACGCAAGTGTCTTGCTCATTCTTCTTGTGATGACAGATTTCCGAATGAGCGGTAGATTAAAAAAATGTGTTGACTATTCACAAGTACTTCAATGTAAGTTTATTTGAATAAACGATTTTCTATTCTCTATCACAAGAAGAATAAGCAGGAAACTTGTGTGTTGCTCTTTTAAACAATCCTTGTAATTTCACATTTTACAAGTCGAAACGTGTGAATACAAACTACCAACCAGCACTAATTTATTTAGGCTCAAATATAAAAACACAATAAGATTAAATCAGTCTAGTGATAAGAGCAGACCAGTCCCTACAAGCAGCACTCATTCACGAGTATGACGGATGAGCCAGTCATCTGAAAGCATTTGAAAGCAAAAGGGATCCTATTTTCGCACTTTTGTAAAGAGTTGACATGGGAAATGACAGGTTATATGGAAATATCGTTAGTTTTAAAACTAGAAAATTGAAACTTATTTTTATATTGTTGATTAAATATAAAATATGGAATGAAAGTTCTTATAGGAATTCGTCATTTTTAAATATAGAATGAATCTAGTCGATCTATAGTACGCAATAAAGAAAAAAACAAAAATCGAATTTCATATTGCTATTACAAGATTTATCGTTCCATTTCGGATATAATC